GGACGCCTAGGTGCTGCTGAGGCCTGCTTCGCGGTACAGCCCCTTCGCCGGGAGAGTTTCTTTAAAGTGCAGAGCTCACCCCTCACCATCACCCCCGCGAGGTGAAACTGGTCGACGGTGATGGAAGCGCCGTCCTGGACCAGGCCAGTTGTACCTTCTGATAGAACCTGGCAGAACTTGTGATGATAAAAGGAGGAAAGAGAGAGGGGGGAGAGGCTTGCCTGGGCTTTGGACTAGTCAGTCGGTTGCCTATTTTGACATCCTCTAACCACACAGTCTGAATTTGGACTTGTTTTACAATGAAATGAAATTTGCCACTGGGAGACTAATGCAGTTTGGCATTTTTCTTTTATTGCCACATAAATGCACGTATCACTTTCTCTCTTACTTAGAAGCAAGATTTTAAGGATTTTTAATGCCACTTTGTACCTATTCTGCTTTCAGCAAAACACAGAAACACGTGTGTTTAGACATTTACAGCTTTACACCATTAATGAAACCATAGCCACATCTAAATATGCCTTATTTCCCGAAGTTACAAAGTGACAATGACTTTAATATTTCTTGTTTTCAGCATTTGGCATCAACAGCATTTTATATCAGCGTGGCATATATCCATCCGAAACCTTTACTCGAGTGCAGAAATATGGACTCACCTTGCTTGTAACTACTGATCCTGAACTCATAAAATACCTAAATAATGTGGTGGAACAACTGAAAGGTAATTAATTGTAAAACTGAATTCAACCTGTGGGACTAAACTTAAAAAAGAAGAACTACTAAATAACAGAGCGCTCATTAGAATTTTCTTATTTTCACCTATTTCCATTTGTCTTTTTTTTTTTTAATCCTGCCTGAGTCAGTAGCCTTTTCTATCTGAACACTCATTTTTTCCTTTTCGCTCAAGAAGTTGCAGTATTGTTGGATCAATATTTGTTCTCCATCTATTGCTTTTCTTTCTTTTTCTAGAATTCCTATTAGTTTCTCTTTCATGTTTCTCTCCACTTAGGAATCCCATTTCTAATTTTTCTGTGTTGTGGGATATTTTGCCCTATCTACCCATTTGACCTTCCAAATTACTAGTCCTAAAAAATGCTACAGCTCTCATCTTTTTTTTTTCCTTTTTAATTTTAAAATTCACGGATCATTTTTGTTGTTTTAAGTAACTTCATTTTTTAAATTACATCATTGTATTTTCATTAACTTCAGGGCTAAATCACCCATCGTCATTCATAGGGCTGCACTTGGATTATTTGGTGTGGAACCTCTTAGAACTAAACTCAAATCCTCCCTGAGTCAAATTTTCCTATTTTATGCTTTCATTGTACCATATTTTGCACCTGCATAGCAGTTACAATTTTAATTTCATGTTAATTGGTGCAGTGATTAGGTTAATGTTATCTCCTACACTCTTGCCTTGGATTAGGATGGAAGTACCGAATGTTTACGATCCTGTCCTCAGCACCCAGTGCTATACCTGGTATAAATACTGAGAATTTGAAAACAGGAGCTAGGTTATTGATGGGGCAAGTTTTCTGTATAATTTGGAGGAGATCCAAAATAGCAGTGGTAGAAATTTGCTGAGGATAGGAAGTGGGACCCAAGAAAAGAGTTGCTTTGTAATGCAGTGAACCAAAAAAGATGCCTTGTTATGTGTTACAGAATGGTTATGCAAGTGTTCAGTGCAGAAATTGGTGGTAGTCATCTCAAATATTGAAAGTGGTGAGGTCCTTGAAAGATGGCAGTTTGATATTGAGTGTGACAAGACTGCAAAAGATGACAGGTAAGTAGGAATTTAAATTATTTCCACTTTCATATGCTTGTTCTAAAACTTGTTTTCTTTACAAAATGAGTTCTAATTATATTGAACAAGTTTCATAGAAGGTATAGTTTTTTCTAGGATGTTTAATTTGATCTTCAGTCTTCTGTGGAAAAGAACTGTGCTTACTTTGGCATGTCACTGACTTGTATAGTATCGCCTTTAGTCTAAATTGGTGAATTTCAAATTGTAGTATTTATGGTGGTATATGCAAAACTCCATACAGTATACTAGGTGGCCCATTTTATGAATTGTTTAAAGGTACTTTTAAGCTTAAGGGATTATCCTAGACTCTCCCAGTTTAAGATGCAATTCTACTGTATTTCACTTAATGCCACAAGTTTCCTAAGACACTTCATAAACTCTGAAGTTTCCAGACTACCTGAATGGGAAATACCCATCATAATATGCTAATGACTAGCATTGTCCTAGGCATACTTACCTGTAAATTCAGAACCATTTCTCATAATGAAATGTAGTTTGCTTCTGAAGCCTTTGGTCTCTTTTAGGAAATGTTTAGCTTATAAAAATAATTTGACATACAATTTAATATCTTATTTGAGACAATAGGGAATTAGACACTTAGGCGTTACTAAAAATGCCAAAATGATTATACCAATTAAATATTTTAGATACCACTGTTATTTTTTTTTTAAGAGGTACTGAAGTTTTCCTAACTTGAAGCACTTGGCAAATTTTCTGGTCATCTGATACAAAATGACCTGATCCTAAGACCAACCATAAAAAATGATTGGAAGGATAAATGAAATAATAAAAATACATACTATGCCTACTGTGGTATTATGGGTCCTAATGATGTACTCATTTTCTAAAAAACTCCTTTTTAATGTATTACTTATTTGATTTTGGAATCATTTAATTAGATAAATAATCTTACAGATGTTTTAAATAACTCGTTAAAACTTAAATTAATTGATTTGGTTTCTTTGGTAGTGCACCCAGAGAAAAGTCTCAGAAAGCTATCCAAGATGAAATCCGCTCAGTGATCAGACAGATCACAGCTACAGTGACATTTCTGCCACTGTTGGAAGTTTCCTGTAAGTATTATACAACGTCACATTGCCTTAAATTTGTTGGGGAAAAGACTAAGCTACTATTTTAAGAATTACCCCTTTATTAAATTTTTTTCTTAATTATCAATATCATGTAATAAAAATGAGAAAGCATTATAAAGGAAAAGTAATGTTATATGCATTCTGGAAAATTTGGAAATGCTGAAAAGGAAAGGAATGAAAGTATTCCACAACACTCACTCTTGAATGTTTTGATGTAATTTCTTTCATTATCTTCATTTCTTACACACTTTTATGTATTGATATATATTTAAGACTATAGCTATAATTGTGTCTTGCTTTTCTATCTTCCTTATTCCTTCAAACATCAGATATGTCCTGAAAACCTACTATATGTCACACTCTGTTCTAGGCACTAGGATACATCAGTCACAGAACCAAGAAGTTAGCTTTACTGTAGGTTACATTCATGCTATCCCATGTGATTGATTATACACTTTCTACAAATATTTTTAACGGTTTTTTCTTTAAAGAAAAAAAAACTTGAATTTTTCATAACATAAAGTGAAAGGAGTGCGATATTTTCTGTACTACAGTAAATTTCCATTGAAGAAAAGCAGTGAACTAGTTTTACAGACCAGGCTAAACTACATTTCTAACACTGTGTGGTTCAAAATGTGAGGGAGACAGGGCAGGTACTTTTACTTTTGAAAAAATAATGTACCTTAATTATTTTATCCCCAATTTAGGTTCATTTGATCTCCTGATTTATACAGACAAAGATTTGGTTGTACCTGAAAAGTGGGAAGAGTCAGGACCACAGTTCATTACCAATTCTGAAGAAGTTCGTCTTCGTTCATTTACTACTACAATTCACAAAGTAAATAGCATGGTAGCCTACAAAATTCCTGTCAATGACTGAGGATGAGCTAAAGACAGTAATGTACTTGTATCCTCAAATGTGGTTTTCCTGAAACCAAATCAACTTTTGTTGATATATTTCATTGGTTAATTTTTAGATGGGGAAAACTTAACATTATACTTTACTGAATCTGTGCATAATTGTTCCATTCCTTGGTACCTGTTTCACTTTCCATAGGGCTGATGTAAGTTATTGCACACTGTTGCAAAGGGAACTAGCAGATTTCATTAGCATTGTAATGTCAGTTCCTTTGAAGGTAGTACTGTAGATGGAAAAACTTTTGCCATAAAGCTAAATGTCTTTCTAAATCAGACCTTTTGGTCAAGCAGCTTGACTCAGAATATACAGAAATATTTAAATATAAAATAGAGCAAAAAAAATATGAATATTCAGAATATTTGTTTAGATCCTGAAAGTAACTAATGATAGTCCATAAGTAATAAAATATTGCTCTTATTAGGTCCTTTTGCCATTTATTCATTTGTATAGTTTCCATATTGAAAAATTTTCCAATTACTTGATTTTAATTTATATAACTTTAACCCATGAAGCTATGGATATTCCTACTGTTCAAATTGCTATGATACCAAACTTTTAAGAATGTCCTTTTATGTTTTATAAAATCAAGCTTTAAATGACAATGATGAAATAAAGTTAAATGTGTATGTTTTAAATTTGTCTTGCAATATTTTTATATTGGTGTGGTGTTAATACAGCTAAACAGTTATGATGCATTAAGTCCAGCATATTATTTCTTGTGCCTACTATGGTTGTAGGGCCTAAGAATTCAAAGTTGAGTAAGTCTTGAGGTACTTTCAATCTAATGGACAAGCTTTTATTGTACCCCCTTCATCTCATAACAGTAGATTTAAAATAAACATTCTTTTTGTAAAATGATAAATGTCCTTTGTAATTAATTCAGTTTAGCAAATTTTGGATTGTAGAACCTTTCTATACTCTTAGCCTGTTGTTCGTCTAATTTTCCATATACAGTTGACCTTTGAACAGTGCAGGGACTGGATCATTGACCCTCCAAGCAGTTGAAAATCCCAGTATAACTTACAGCCAGCCCTCCATATCTGTGGTTACTCCATACTCCTGGATTCAGCCAGCTCCGGATCGTGTAGTACTGTACTATTTATTATAGTACTGAAGCTTGAGATCTTATGAAGGAGAGGAAAATATATGGCAAAGGACCATGAAGTAACCAAACAGGTTTACTTCATTATGTATTTGTCTTTATTATTTCACCTGGATAATCTTCTCTCTGATCCAATTGTGTGCTTGTTAAGAATCAAGGAAAATGTCTTACATCCTTTCATCTCTTAGAGCTGCTGGACAAATAGGTGCCAGTTTTTGATGATGGGTATCGTGAATGCTGTTGCAAAGGCCAATCCCTAAAGAGTTGTTGAAGCTGCCTAACTGAGGTTCACCCACAAGTCTTCCTGAATAAGAAAGTAGGTACTCAGAAATGGAAATAATGTTTATTTAGGGATGGTCAAGAGTCAACATTTGAATTCTTGAGCTGTTCATAATCTGTTTAACATCTGAAATATGCATTGAGAAGGAAAGCAGAAATAGAGCTTGAGTAAAAATACGGAGAGAGTTGAAAATCATGGTCCTATTTTTAGGAAATATGTTTGAAAGTTTTTATAGAAAGCAATGACTGCTTCAGGAAACACTGAATGCCCCTTTGTTAAACAATGGGAATAATAAAATGTGGTTCTTGCTCCAAAAAAGCTCACCAGCAGCAACATTATATATTGCTGATGATACATTTCTGTCATTTATGTTTCTGACAAATTAAGTGATCCTAATATTACTACTTTTGTGATTTATTGTGGTACTTACTTCTCTCTCCTTTAAGAGTTATGTCCAGAAATTAATGCTCTGGATTTGAATGTTACCTTCAATAACAGCTTCTGCCATACAATCTATAGCCTGCAAGTTACTGTATAGTATCAGTTCTGCATCAACTAGGCTCTTCTTTTTTTGAAAACAGAAAAAAATTGGCTTTGAAAAAATTTAATGGAAGAATATTAGCTATGTAAAGAATCAAAGGAAAGGCTGAAAACCAGAGAACTAGGGGAGCCCCAGGGATTTTCAGTGACAAATTTGTGAACTCTGCATATCTTTATGTAATATATGGACCACTGGTGTTACCCAGTGATCTATCCAAATGACTCAGATTGCTAGTTTAAAGAAAGTGACAATGAAAAGCTTTGTTTGCATTTTAACAAGCTGCGATGTAAGACTAAGAATTAGGGGAAACTGCATTTTTAAATACTTTGATCACTTCATCTCAGCCAACATCGTTAACATGGTTAAATTAGACTTCTTACACCATTTGCATGTTAACTGTTTACTCTTGTGAGGATTCTGAGGAGCTAGTCTTGATCTTTCTCACCTCTTACAGATTATGTATCAATTCAGAAATACACATATTGGAGTTGAATGGGAGCCAGGCTATGAGCTTTACTGATAAAGCTAGATTGGAAAAGCTTTGGCCTAAGGTTCCAGCTGGACTTGTCCCACCCTCCTTCTACACCTTCAGCCTCACCCTGGGGGGAAGATATTTAAAGCAATAGACGAAAGAACCGTGACTGACTTCATACCATGTTAAATAGAAGCTAAGATTCCAAGAGAATCTGGTGGGCTTCTAGCCCTGCCTGGGCTCTGACTCCGTTTTGCTCACCATAGGTAGAGGAATGAAACCATGTTCCAGTTGAGCCCATCAAGGTTTGAAATAGAGCTCCAGAAGGGACTGAACCACACCTGGTCTTCAGGATCCTTCTCTCAGTACCATCAATCAGACAAATCAAGCCTCCATGGGAATTTTTACACAGAGGTATAACAATCTCATGTCTCCACTGGCTTTTGTTGTAGAGCAAACAACCATAACATAGCAACAATAAGCATTTTTTCCTCCTTCAAGTCTGCAGGTCAGCTGGGGTGTTGTCTTCATTCTCTCCTAAGTCTACAGGTCATGTGTTATTCTACCACTGAAGGGGCAGTGACTAGCCAGAATTCTTGAAGCTTAGTTTCAGAACTTGCACACTGACACTCTTCCACATTCCACTGGCCAAGAACTTGCACACTGACACTTTTCCATATTCCACTGGCCAAGGCAAGTCTTATGGCTAAGCCAGACTTCAGTGGGGAAGGGAAGTATACTCCTCCCAAGGAGATGGGGGAGAGGTGTGAAAATACGGTGAAAGGATCTAATAGACCAGGGGTTGGCAAACGTTTTCTGTAAAGGGTCAGATACTAGTTTAGGCTTTGCACCCATATGGTCTCTTGCACCTACTCAAGTGATTCCGTCATAACTTGAAAGCAGCCTTAGACAACAGGTAAACGAATGAGCATGGCTGTGTTCCAATAACAAAAAACAGACGGTGGGCTATATTTGGCACACAGGTTGTAGTTGGCTGACCCTGTAATAGATCTGTTTGCTGTTTTGTTCACAAATATTCAAACCCCTCCCTGGCTCAGAGCAATTGATTTTGTGATATTCAGGGCTCACATTTAAAGCAACCTCATTTGTTTTCTCCATCCATGGTATTTCAAATGGGATGGCTCTTTATCCCATATTCTGCAAAACACAACTGGCTATTTAAGGTACTCCTCAGGACACCCCACAGTGAATTTTGATCTGAAAACTGGGAAGGGAGGTTCTTTGGCGCATGATGTGTACGAAGAGATTCAAAATAGCATAAAGGCTACACGCCTCCATTTTTAATCACTATATAAACATGCATGCTGAATAAATGTTACTATTAGAATGCATTCAAGTTTCTTAGGTTCATTAACCTCCTATATATTTTAGCATATGAACTCCAAAATCATAAGCATAATAAAGTAGGTATCCACATAGACATTTAATTTTTCTTTACCTTCTGTTTCCATTTAATTGCTTAGTCTGTAAAATTTATCTTAATTTTATTTTCTGTGAAAGATCAGAATAGCTATGATGTTACATTGTAATGCCTGTATTTTCCACCAGATGTCACTAATGTTGTAATACTTAAAGTGAATTTCTTCTGACTCTAAATTAGACTAATATTCTGCTTTTCTTATTGGAAGTTAACATTGGGATTTCTGTCTACAAAAATATGAAGGAATCAGAGGGAAAAACACAGCATCTGTCTTTTGCTAGGCACTTTACATGAACTATTTCATTTAATTCTCAGGCTTTAGTGCACAAGCGGAATCGTGGGGTCAATGGGCATGCAAATGGCACTATGTTTTTAAAGTTTAGATGGCCTCTTTTGACCTCAGCCAAGGAAGCTCATTTGACTCCACAACAAGCACATCAAAAGCAATTCTTCACCCTTTTCTTAATGGTTCTTACCTTCTACATCCTTTTAGCAATTGAGTGTCCAGAACAAATTACTTTTCCTTTACTGGGCTTTGAGTTTCATTGGTGAGTTTGTATTTACACTTTCCTCAGATGACTCTGACCAATGAATGGAAGGAACCAAAACAGAGAGGACTTTATCCTATGCCGTATCGATACTGTTTATAGAATAAATCAAGTGTGAATTTTCAAGCATCTGTGAAACAGGTTTCCAGCTAATCAGAAGAACTGTTCATTTAACTACCTCGGTTACTCCTTGGGGAATTAATTTTTGGCTTAACTTGTAAATAACATTTTCTCATTCTTTCTTTACTCAGTGTATGAAATTATATTTCAAGTTATTTTGTTCAATGTGACCATGATAAAGGTTTGTGTTGGAACAACTATGGAATAGAACCTGTCTGCTAAACTTCACATTTTATTAGTTATATTTTCTAAAAACAGATCTTTAGCAATCTTTCCATTCTTGAATATGGCTTTGAAAGTCAGCAGTATTAACCTATGCTTATTTAAAAAAAAAAAAAATCTAGCTGGGAAAGCTACTTAATCTCCATTAGAGTTGACAATCCTGTTCCAATCTGGCAAAAACATTGTAGCCCTAGCAACAAAACTATTAGAAAAGGCCTAGAGAGAAAAATGTCAGAGTTGACGCTCTGATTTCAAAAGTCAGTTTATGTTACCACTTCACCTATTTTTGTCTTCCTACCATTTGATCTATTTTTATACTAGAGAAACATAATGCAGTTTCATTTATTTGTGTAAAGTCCATTTTCATCAACATTTATCTGCATCATTTTGCTATGTAAGCTTGTTTGCACGAAGGAGCTTACATCAGATCAAAATCTCTATTGTCTTGGAATTTTATGTGTGGAAAAGGCTTCCGAGTATAAGCAGGCCAACCATACTCCATTTCCATGCAAGGGAAAGATCTCAAACGTCTTTAAAAACTATATAGATATGGACATATTGAGTGGATGCCTAGACATGGATATGATTTCTATCTAAATGGCAGTCTCACTGTCTAAGTGCAGAAGTTAGTGGTTTTAAAGATTGAGTCAGTGATACCCAAAATATTTCATGTCTAAAATACAGTTCTTGTATCACTGTACTCAATCCTAATAGTCAATACAGCTCTTTAGAAACCAGTTCAAAGGTTCCAGATCTAAGAAAGGAAATTTATAGGCAATGATCATCTACCATGTGCCAAGTACCAGTTAGGTGCTTTACACCTGTTCAGCCTGGTTCCTTCTAGGTGCATAGAGGCTGGGGCTGGTGGGGAAGTGGGAGACTTGGGCTACAGCCTGTGGTCTTGGAAACTGGTGATGGGACATGGGGAGAGCCATGAAGCAAAGAAAATGATGAAGTCTGAGTCCCAAATGACAAGTCCTCTGGAGTAAGGAATAGCTCCAAAACCTCAATTCAGGCTGTGAGGGAAGAACAGTGTGGAAAGACAAGGACTGGATCCAAAATGAACGTTTTATAACTGCTGACGCCCAGTGAGTCCCAGAGGATAACCGTGAAGGAGCACTGCGTAGGGAGAAAGAATCCTTCATAGAGTACCTTAGGCTCAACTTGTGGGCAGGGAGGGGATTCGTCATCAAATTAGTACATTACATGCATTATCTCAATCCTCACAACCCAATGAGAGTTACTATCCCCATTTTACACCTGTAAAAAGTGAGATTCGGGAAGGTTAAGTAATTTGCCCAGCTTCAAACATCCAGAATACATTCCCAGGCCTGACTCCAAAGCCTGTATTCTTACTGTATCTCATTGCCTCTCAGAGACTAGGGAACAAGGAAGGGTCCCCTGTTCCAGGATGCAGACTCAGCCAAGGAGACTACAATACCACCTGCATCTCACTCCAGCTGGAGAAGTGAAAACTCACAGCCACGATGTTTGAGCGTCAAGGTACATTAACTTTTTAAAAAACTCTTTTTCATAATAAGCTGTCACTAAATGTTTATTAACACAGAGCCTTCTGCTGTGTAACAGGAGCATTCATTTTCTTCCATCGACATTTTCTTCTCTCATTGCTTTCACTTGTTTTTGTAACTAAATGCTGTGTTGGAATTTGGGCTTCTGCTTTATGGGCTTTAACCAGTTTGAGAAATAGACACAGAAAACAGATTGAAATGTATGTATTATCATCTATATTACGGGGTTTCCTAGTAAAGCTGAGTAGGAGCAAGAGGCTTGCACCTAAAGCAGAAATAGGTTTGCTACTACTCCCCCATAAATGAACTGTGGAACAGTCAGACAACTTCGGTCTTCCTCACTCAAGCCCAACTCCAGCATGGGAGTAAGAAGTGCCGCTCCCTGAACGCCAAAGCCAGAGTTAGAAAGCACTGTACCTGAGCTCCAGCAAGCCTTGGAAAGAGTTCTTTGTTGCTTGGGATGGTGTGAGAGAGAAGGTGGAGAGAGGGGCCCCCAATAGTTCTCCAGTACCACTATCCATCATCAGGATCAGAGCAGAAACCTGAAGAGTGGAGTAACATGCATCCCTCCCAGTATTTGCCAGGTTTTTTTTTTAATATAAATTTATTTATTTTATTTATTTATTTTTGGCTGCGTTGGGTCTTGGTTGCTGTGCACGGGCTTTCTCTAGTTGTGGCGAGCAGAGGCTACTCTTCGTTGTGGTGCGTGGGCTTCTCATTGCAGTGGCTTCTCTTGTTGTGAAGCACAGGCTCTAGGCACGCAGGCTTCAGTAGTTGTGGCACGCGGGCTCAGTAGTTGTGGCTCACAGGCTCTAGAGCACAGGCTCAGTAGTTGTGGTGCACGGGCTTAGTTGCTCCACGGCATGTGGGATCTTCCCGGACCAGGGCTTGAACCCATGTCCCCTGCACTGGCAGGCAGATTCTTAACCACTGCGCCACCAGCGAAGCCTATTTGCCAGGTTTTTAATCTTTTAGCATACTATGATGCCAGTTGATTTTAGGTAGCAGGGTGATGGTAACAGGCATTTTTAAAAAATTTTAGTAATTATGTATTTTAATCTGTATTCAGAAAAATATATAACATATTTTAACATATCATGAGCTAAAGATTTTTGAAGTACACACCTTATTTTTTTTTAATGTATCAGTATTGGGATGGGTGATATGCAAATAAAAATCACGAAGGCAGCACATATATGAAGGAAGGCTGGGAAGTGATGTCATAAGCCATTGTACTTAAGTCAGAAGTAAGCCAGGGTGGGTTGCATACTCAGAGTGCTGCTGTGCTCTTACCATCCTACACTCCACTTCTTTCTACACAACGTTCCCCTCTGGAACTGCTGATGGGCATTTCACTTTTTGCCCACAAAAGACTCTAACAACATGAGTCAGACAGGGTTCCACGCAGCACCCTAAGCTCAAAATTCACTCCCTATTCTATTCTTATCACTAATTATGTCCTGTCACAATGTCCAAAATAGATCATCAGACTTTATGAAACGAATACAAAGACTGGATCAACAACATAAAAATGTCCCAAATTTGAACAATAGGAAACTCTTATTTTTCAGCTTCCTCAGAACGAAATCCCCTTGTAAATAAAAGCCCATAGAAATTAAAGTCCAAATGCCTTCATTCCCTATTTTATACAATTGGCTCAGTCTCAGCCGGAGGGTCTTAGTTGTCTGGATTCCTGTATCTGCAGCTGTGTCCTAGGCTGTCTTTCATAGGAATATAGCTTCTTCAGCCTCTTTAAATTCAAATCTCTAGTTAGCTCTACTCTCCAAGGGGAGGGTAGCCACAAAAGAAACTGCAGCTCCACTACAGAAGTTATCCCAAACAAAATTATGATCCCCAAATTAAGTGAATGGTATCATGTGGCTTGACATTGCTATTCTCAGCCAAAGAGCATGGCAGATAACTTAGTGGTACCTGCACTGGAGACAGTGAGGACCTGAGAACACCTGGTTTCAGTCCCATGGCAGGTCAGCCAGCTGCACCAGTGTCGAGTCCACAGCCTGGGAATCTGTGTTTAATGGACCAGTAACTGCCCAACAGTTGTGCTTCTACGTGTATAATATATTTGTGTATTTCTTTGTGTTTTTTCTTGTTTTCTTTTGTTTGGGTGATGCTTGTGGGGATCTCCCCATATATATTGCCTACTTTCTCTCAGAGAGTGACATTTGACACATTATTGCCTACTTAGAAAATTTAGATATTCTGGTTTCTTCATTTCCTCCTGTCTATTGTCTCATGCAAGATTGTGGTCTAGAGAAAACCTCTACTCCCAAATTCTTCCAAGTGTGTTCTCTGTAGAGGAGAAGTATACTCTTCTCTGTGAAAACATGAGGGATGGGGTAGAGACCATCACCCTACTTCTTAGCACTGTTTTAATAATATACCCTGTTTTATTTATTATGATAATAGTGATTGTCATCACTCTTCCATAAATTTTTTCCTTCCTACCTAGGCAGGTTGAGTTGGACCCAGCTAGGCAGTAGGTGACTAGAGTCAAAATTAAATTAAAAAAAAACAATTAAAACACCAGGATCACAGTAAAGGCCAGTGAGTCAGGATTACTCTTGTACGTGGTCGGTGGGAATGTAAACTGGTTCAGCCACTGTGGAAAACAGTATGGAAATTCCTCAGAAAATTAAGAATAGAACTTCTAAATGATTCAGCAATTCTACTTGTGGGTATTTATCTGAAGAAAACAAAAACACTAGTTCGAAAAGATATATTCACCCCTATGTTCACTGCAGCATTATTACAACAGCCAAGATATGGAAACAACCTAAATGTACAAGGATGGGTGAATGGATAAAGAAGATTTAATGTATATATATATATACACACAACAGAATACTATGTAGCCATAAGAGAAGGAAATCTTGCCATTTGCTACAACATGGATGGACCTTGAGGGTATTATGCTAAGTGAAATAAGTCAGATGAAGAAAGACAAATACCATATAATTTCCCTTTTATGTTGAAAATAAAAAACAAAACAAACAAACAAAAGAAAAACAAACTCACAGATTGAGAGAACAGATTGGTAGGTTACCAGAAGGGAAGGGATTGGAAGAAGGGTGAAGTGAGTGAAGGGGATCAACTGTATGGTGATGGATGGTAACTAGACTTACAGTGCTGGTTACGTTGTAGTGTATACAAATAGCAATTTATAATGCTGTATACCTGAAATGTGTATAAATGTTATACACCAATTTTACCTCAATTAAAAAAAAAAAGAGGGCTTCCCTGGTGGCGCAGTGGTTGAGAGTCGGCCTGCCAATGCAGGGGACATGGCTTCGTGCCCCGGTCCGGGAAGATCCCACATGCTGCGGAGCAGCTGGGCCTGTGAGCCATGGCCGCTGAGCCTGCACGTCTGGAGCCCGTGCTCCGCAACGGGAGAGGCCACAGCAGTGAGAGGCCCGCGTACCACAAAAAAAAAAAAGAAAAAAAGTAACAGAAGGATACCGAAGTTTAGCAAAACTTTAAGGAGATTCCAGATGTCACAGATTAAAGTACTCAAAAGTTAGTATTCCAAAAGGTTGGGCCATTGAAAACATAGAACACAAGCACAAACAAACAAAAAATACCTAAACCTAAACTTCAGGACAGAAACTTTTCTGTTCTTACGCCTTCCTGTCTCAGTAGGATCTGACCATTAGTGTAAGGAGAGAGACTGCAGCTGTGGAGGAAAATGGTGCCAAGAACTGCAGCTGCAGAAATTTTTTTGTTTTTTTTTTCACTTTTTAGTTTTGACATGTAAAATTAATACATACACAAGTTAAAAAAACATCAAACAGTACAGAGTGGTACTAAATGAAAAGTAAGTTCTCTACCTTACCTCATTCTCCCACTCCCCATTTCTAATCCAGCTCCCTTGGAGTATAGTTGCTTTACAACGTTGTGTTAGTTTCTGCTGTACAGCAAAGTGAATCAGCTATACATATACATATATCCCCTCTTTTCTGGATTTCCTTCCCATTTAGGTCACCACAGAGCATTGAGTAGGGTTCCCTGTGCTATACAGTAGGTTCTCATTAGTTATCTATTTTATACATAGTATCAATAGTGTATATGTGTCTATCCCAATCTCCCAATTCATCCCACCCCCCCACCAGCTGCCTTTTTTTTTTTTTTTTTTTTT